TTGATTTTAGGAGGTTTGGTTTATGGGGGCCTTGGGTTTAGGAGCATACTCCGAACTCTTGGTGTTATCCTCCCAACAGTTACAATAATAGTCTCCCTGGTGCGCTGTATTCTCTCAAAGGTTTTAAATGTTTGCATGCAGCCATCTCTAGAACATCAGATGTTCTTTCTTCAACTGGAATGACAAAAGCTGAAAGAAATGTGCAACCATGAGAACACCAAAACCTATAAATGATGTGCTGAGACCAAAAACCCAAAATGATGGTAACTGAGAGTGGCGCTAAGGCCCTAAGTTTTGGTCACACTCACCTAAGTGAGAACCTGACCAAAAAGGGGGAATTTTTTCCACAAAATTTTGGGAGGCCATTGTTTTGGACTAAGCTCATGCACTAGGCCCCAACAAACCAAACCAAACCAAAATGGAGTTGCTTGTGCTTAGACTTCAAGGAAACATAAATTCTAGAACAGACTAGGTTTTGTTTTTTCTTCTGCAAGTCTCTGTAACAAACATCTCCGACAGCATAGGTATCCACCCCCTAAAGTCCCCATTAAATCTTTTAACCAAATTCATTTCCTCTCGTCTAGAGACCATCAAGCTTCAGATGATCATGCAACTAAGGTTCCATCCAGTTCCAGGTGAAGACACCACCCCTAGCCGTCAAGAAACTACCCTGCCTCCACTAGATAGAGCAGGGCGAGTTCCGTGATCACCAATAGGTAGGTAGGGACTACACCCCAAGCCAGCATGAAGCAGTTACAGAAAAAAGACCATGAGTCCCTCTGCCTCCTTTGGAGATTTATGGGGATCACATCTCTCAAAGGGGAGATGAGGCAGGACAATAGGGTCCGGAGGCAGGGAACAGAAGGCCGATTCACACTTCAGTTATGACAGGAAATATCCTCTCCACATGGCGTAGGCCATGTAAATGAATTAACTTTACTTCATCCTCTTCATTTACATAGGGTGTACCCCAGGTAGAGGGTATTTAAACGCCCAAAAATTCTATAATGGGGACTTTGAGCCCTTATGCTCAGGCGTGCTCCCATAATGTAGACTGTACTTTCATTTTCAATGAAACTCTTCATTCCTTCCTTTCTTTGTGCGTTTTGTCCAATTGTTTGTTCAAGACGCCAAGAAACTGGACACCCTCCACCATTAACAAAGGGTCATGAGGAAACTTTTGGGGGTGATATATATGTTATTTATCTCGATTGTGGTGATGGGTGTCAAAACTTAACAAATTGTACATTTTAAATATGTGCAGCTTAAGGTACATCAATTATACCTTAATATAGCTCTTTCAAATTTAAAAATAGTAATCCTAGAACTCTGGGAGGCCAAAGCAGGAGGACTCCTTGAGCCCAGGAATTTGAGACTAGCCTGGGCAACATGGCAAAACTCATGTCTTCAGAAATTTTAAAAATTAGCCAGGCATGGTGGTGTACACCCGTAGTCCCAGCTACTCAGCAGGCTAAGGTAGAATGATCGCTTGAGCATGGGAGGCTGCAGTGAGCTATGATCATGCCACTGCACTCTAGCGTGGGTGACACAGTGAGACTATGCCTCAAAAAAAAAAAAAAGGACCATCCTGGCTAACACAGTGAAACCCCGTCTCTACTAAAAAATACAAAAAACTAGCCAGGCGAGGTGGCGGGCGCCTGTAGTCCCAGCTACTCAGGAGGCTGAGGCAGGAGAATGGTGCAAACCTGGGAGGCGGAGCTTGCAGTGAGCTGAGATCCGGCCACTGCACTCCAGCCTGGGCGACAGAGCCAGACTCCGTCTCAAAAAAAAAAAAAAAAAGGAATACAATTTCAACATAAAACAAGCAGAGACATTCTTGTAACCAACTAATTGTTTGCTTAGTAGTTTTTAGTTTGAGAAGCAATGATACTCCCTAATCAGGAACTGGGGGCTGAAAATGGATCTAGCAATCTAGCTTTCCTGAAGATTTATTACCTCTTTCTTCTAGAAGGAGAAAAAAGGCATTGACATTAACTCTCATCTTAGGTTGTTTATGCTGATAATAATTGAGAAGATTATAATTACATACATCCGTTTTGTTTTCTACTTTTTAATCTCTTATACAATTTCTGAGCTTATCATTATCACAGAAGAAATAGCTTTGGTTTCAAAGCTGAAAGCCAATATTTTTGTGAATTTTTAAAACTCTGAAAATGCACCTTTATATTTGGTACCTCACTTGCTAATATTGAAGAAGCTATTCTCAAGAACTTGCTGAGACAGTTTCACTCTTTCTAAAGGGATCATTCATCCTCCACTAAGGCGCTCCTGCTGAATAATCTTCCTCTGCCTGGATTTTTCTTTTCAGGTCAGGATCTTTTCTGTGGGAAGTTTGTCTCTAAGTCTTCAAAGTCACGGTCTAAACCTATTCTCCTCTCTTCTGTGGTTACTTTTCCTTTCTGCCACTGCTTTTGTTTACTTGTTTGTTTGATTTTTGGTTTTGCCACCTTGAGGAGAAAGGAGGTCAATGGAAGCCTTCTTCAAAGTCTTGAAGAACACATGGGAGCTCCTGGAAAAGAAAGCGGGGGTGAAGTGGCTGTTCTTGGCAGAGAGGAAGGCATGCAAATGGGCACCGAAACGACGAACAGTACATGTGGGCTGGGAAGGACAGTGGTTCATTACTGTGAGTGATAGAAAAACTATGTAGGGTTTTAAGCAAGAGAATAGTAGGGTCAGATGTGTGATTCAGAGAAATCTATCCAGCAACCAGTGTGATTTTTGGATCTGGCAAATTTAGGCAAAGCAATCATTTGAGAGACTGTTGCAGTAATCCAATCAGAGGATGAGTGCCTGAACTAAGCAAGTAGATGAAATTGAGAAATATTTAGAGTAACAAATTAACAAGACCAAGTGATTCAGTGTCACCTTCGAGGTGGAGGGGTTAGAAATAAGGAAGAGCCAAGGATAACTTCCTACTTTCTAGACTCACTAACTGGGAAAAGAATGGCATCTTCAAGTGAAACAAAGTACAAGAGGCAGAAGATTCACTGGGAGCCAGGGAAATGATGGATTCAGTTTAGGACATATTAAGATCGAGATGTGCAAGAATACCCAGTGATGTCTTCAGGATATTTCTCCAGATGGCCTTGGACTGGCCTAGTTCTCCCCACTTTCTTGCTTGTAGTTCTGAAGAATAATTCCGATGTGCTGGGCATGTAATATTCTGAGATAAGGAAGAAATAGCCAGAACAGCCCAGGCTCTGTTCTAGCCTCCCCAAAACCAAAATGTCCTTCCATGCTTTTACAGCTTTTCCCAGCTGGAGTACAAGTGGACATGCACAGACGAGACTCGATCTGCACTGTGTGGCTTTCCTGAGTCTTGAGAGACCAGCTCATCATAAATCCTAGGCTTCTGCTGTCCCTTGCTGCTTCTCTGTGAGTAATAAATCCACTTCATGTAACTTGTGTATGTGAGTGTTCTGGCTCACCAGGCTCGGGCAGGTAGTAGAAGTACAGTCCAAGATGCAGTGAACTGAATTGGTAACCAGTGCACACTAAACACGCTTTGCAGAACCCAGCAGGTTGCTGAATATATGAATCTGAATGTTAGGTAGAAAAGTCTGACCCAGAAATACAGAATTTAGGCCGAGCATGGTGGCTCACACCTGTAATGCCAGCACTTTGGGAGGCCAAGGTGGGTGGATCACCTGAGGTCAGGAGTTTGACACCAGCCTGGCCAACATGGCGAAACCCCTACTAAAAACACAAAAATTAGCTGGGTGTGGTGGCGGGCACCTGTAATCCCAGCCACTCAGGAGACTAAGATGGGAGAATTGCTTGAACCCAAGAGACGGAGGTTGCAGTGAGCCAAGATCGCACCACTGCACTCCAGCCTAGGCGACAGAGTGAGACTCCATCTCAAAATAATAATAATAAACAAACAAATAAATAAATAAAAGAATTTAGAGTCAGGCTATAGATGATGATAATATGTCAGAAAAATTATGAAAGATTTTGCAATAGTCAAAAGAGGTTACTGGGTGGACTTTCCATGGAATGCTGTGCATTTTTAAAAGACTCTCTGGGGGCCGGGCATGGTGGCTCTTGCCTGTAATCCCAGCACTTTGGGAGGCTGAGGCAGGCGGATCACGAAGTCAAGAGATCGAGACCATCCTGGCCAACATGGGGAAACCCTGTCTGTACTAAAATTACAAAAATTAGCTGGGCATGGTTGCGCGCCTATAGTCCCAGCTACTCGGGAGGCTGAAGCAGGAGTATCGCTTGAAGCCGAGATGTGGAGGTTGCAGTGAACTGAGATTGCACCACTGCACTCCAGCCTGGTGACAGAGCGAGACTCCGTCTCAAAAACAAAAAAAAACAAAACAACCCTGGGTCATTTGCTGTAGGGGCCATGTACCTCTGCCTTTGAATATGCTATTTTACAACTCTGTAGAGATAGAAATTAACTTACAGAAAGTGGTAATGCAAATGTTCCCTTCCCATAACAATGTAAACTATTCCTGTCCACAGCAATACAAATCATTATTTTGTGTGATAGAAAATATGTCACTATAAACCAAATTCGTCTTGGAACCAGTTTGAACATCCCTCCTGGTTGTAGGGATTAAATAAAGTCAATGAATGAGTTAAGTAAGATCTTTGGAACATGTTCATTTTATATTTGCATGAAGGCCATAATTTTACCTTTTGAAACACTTTAACAGTTTTGAAGCTTTCACCAACATCCCAATGGATTCACCTGACAGAACCAGGTAAACCACATTACGAAGAACACCCCATGAGGCTCTAAGTCCAAGCACACTTTTTCCTGGCTCCCAGAGTGAACACCAAGTAGCAACAGTACTACAGCATTGCTGACTTTCTCCCTAAGTTTCTTTCTCCTCCTTACTGATTTTGGGTTTTGTTTGTGATTCGCCCACAGCTGGTGGATTTTTCCCCATGAATGGCAACAACAGTTAGGAATTTGCGGGAAACCCCGTCGCTCCCTTTCCTCTGGCTGGCAGAGCAGAAGCCGCATGATGCCTGGAGTTCCTCTAGAAGACGTGAAACAGCGGGACGTCGTCAGAACTCTGGCAACCTTTCTCAAAAAGTCCGGGAAGCTGAAAGTCCCTGAATGGGTGGACACCGTCAAGCTGGCCAAGCACAAAGAGCTTGCTCCCTACGTTGAGAACTGGTTCTGCACAGGAGCTGGTTCCACAGCGCGGCACCTGTACCTCCGTGGTGGCGCTGGGGTTGGCTCCATGACCAAGATCTACGGGGGACGTCAGAGAAATGGCATCATGCCCAGCCACTTCAGCCGAGGCTTCAACAGCGTCCTCCACCAGGTCCTCCAAGCCCTGGAGGGGCTGAAAATGGTGGAAAAGGACCAAGATGGGGACCACAAACTGACACCTCAGGGACAGAGAGATCTGGACAGAATTGCCGGACAGGTGGCAGCTGCCAACAAGAAGCATTAGAACAAACCATGCTGGGTTAATATATTGCCTTATTCGGAAAAAAAAAAAATAGGAACTAGGTTTTCCATTCTGAACATCTGGTGATCTCTTTAAGTGAATTAATAGTTTTTAGAGATCTATTCTCTTTTGGATAAGAGATGATGAAAAATCTGGTTAGTCTCTTTGTTTGTTTGCCTTTTTGTCTATTTATGAGTTCAAATCAGTTAAGACTTCCATGCCCACTGGGAAGGAGAACAGCTTTTTGTTATCTAGTCCACTGAATTTTTATGTTTCTGAATTTATTTTGACCTGTGGCCTACTAAGTTGTAGAACCAAAGCTATATGCTATGTGTCTATGTGTTTTCACGGCTGTAATCAACAAAGGCCTTCCCCTCTTGTTGTGGGAGTAAAAAGTATCTTGCTACCTTTGTAAAGTTTTAATAAGTTAGATTATTTCATGTCTTAAAGGAGCTCTGTTATAATTCACTTATGGAAATAAACACATGTAAAGCAACTATTCCTAAAATTCCAGAAAATAAGTAAATTAATCTTCTAATAGTTTATGCATGCAAAATTTCTTAAAAATGCTGAAACCATCCTCACAGGGTTAACAAGATTACAAGTCAGGCTTTAGGCAGGTTAGTTTGGCACTGACCAGGGTGCATTGGTGCACTTCAATTCACTTCCCTGCAGCTGCTAACTAACCAAAAGCCTTGCAGCACACCGATCACCTGCTCCCTGATTGCTCCTATCCACAGAATCTCTACACTAGATCTTCGTACCCAGGAATTGCTTAAGGTGTTTTTCAGATCCTGAATTCCCACAGAACAGCTGATGCCAAACTGCTTAGGGATCCCCACCAGGAAGGGCACAGTGGCTCACACGTGTAATCTCAGCACTTTGGGAGGCCAAGGCGGGAGGATCGCCTGGAAGCCAGGAGTTTGAGACTAGCCTGGGCAACAAAGTGAGACCCGGCTTTGCAAAAACAATTTTTAAAAATAAATGAAGACCTCCACCACGGAACAATACTGGAATGAAGTTTCTTCATCTCCCTGTCCCATGACTTCACCTCTCACTTCCTGAACAATCAGATATCCCCACACTTTAGCCCATTGACCCTCCAGACTTCTTAAAAATGCCATCTCTAATCTCTTGGGGAGGTAGATATGAGGATTCCTCTCCTCTCCTCATTTGGCTGCCACTTGATTACGGAACTCTTTATCTGCTGCAACTCCTCTTCTTTCTGTTACCGCACAATGGGCAATCGAACCTGATGGTCCTATAACAATCCTTACAGAAATTGCTAGTACAGAAAGAATCCAGGTTCAAATAATCAAGGCAAAATCTTTGGCAAATAATATTATTTTAATTTTTGGTTAAAAAAATCCCAGCTATGTCTTTTCTCAGTGTTAAGTATTATACATGTGTACATTTTACTTGAGTTTGTTTCCTTACAGAGAGAATAATTAATCTGAACTTCCTAAATGTATAAAAGTTTACTATTGATAAGCTAATATTAACATTACATGTTTAAGATCCTGAAAAATGTAAATATGTTCAACAAAACTGAATCATTCTCACATTTAACAGTAATTGTTTCTGTGTGCCTTAAACTATTAATAATTTCTATGATCTATACATAACTTAAAACTTAGTATTAAATTGAGCTAACGAATGGATACTTCTTGGATGCCTAGATATGTTCTTGCATAATTTTATGTCTACATCGTTTTGCTTATTTTTATATGCTGCAGAGTCTACAACTCTGAGTCACAGTAATGAATGTCTTCATGTTTGCCACTTGGCAGTGTGTAAAAACGGTTGTGGTGGCTGTATAAAGTTGTGTTCTATCATGCCTTTTGCAGCAACTTGGATGCAACATGGATGCCTGCAGCAACTTGGATGCAACATGGATACCTGGAGGCCATAATCCTAAAAGAATGCAGAAACAGAAAACTGTCAGGCCTCTGAGCCCAAGCCAAGCCATTCTTGCACGTACATGGCCCAGATGGCCTGAAGTAACTGAAGAATCACAAAAGAAGTGCAAATACCCTGCCCCACCTTAACTGATGACATTTCACCACAAAAGAAGTGAAAATGGCCGGTCCTTGCCTTAAGTGATGACATTATCTTGTGAAATTCCTTTTCCTGGCTCATCCTGGCTCAAAAAGCTCCTCCACTGAGCACTTTGTGACCCCTACTCCTGCCGCCAGAGAACAACACCCCTTTGACTGTAATTTTCCTTTACCTACCCAAATCCTATAAAACGGCCCCACCCTTATCTCCCTTCGCTGACTCTTTTCGGACTCAGCCCACCTGCACCCAGGCGAAATAAACAGCCATGTTGCTCACACAAAGCCTGTTTGGTGGTCTCTTCACACAGATGCGCATGACAAAAACCAAATACATGTTCTCAATTGTAAGTGTGAGCTAAGTATTGGGCACACATGGACGCAAAGGTGACATTAATAGACGCCGGGGACTACTAGAGTGGCGAGGGAGGGTAGGAGGGGCTGAAAAAATTGAGTAGTATGCTCAGTATCTGGGTGACCAGATCGTTCGAATCCGAAACCTCATAGCCAGGTAACAAATATGCAGTGTATCCCCTGAATCTAAAAGTTCGAATTATTTTAAAAAAGAAAGTTATGTTCTATGTAGTTACAAGCTTACTCTCTTAAAATGCTTGAATATTTCAGTTCTCAATTATTCATCTCCATGTAGAAGAATGATAGGGACTCGCTGAGAGCGCCAAGACATTGCAGCAAGCGAGGGAGGAGAGCTTGTAACGTGAACCACCACCACACCGCTGTACTTCAAATTCAACTGGCCACAGAGACCGACTCCCAAAACCAGCAATTGCCTAAGCCCCGCCACGCACACCACCCGCCACGCCCCTCTGCCCCGCCCCTTCCGCCCGCTGACGCCTTCTTCCGGCAGCCTTAGTTTCTTCCAACCCGTGAAGCTCCCTGTTCCGCGAGCATACGTCATCGTTCTCGCTTTCCGGTAGCTAAGGCGATCAGCGGGACTTCCCACTGAGACGGGCGGATGTTATATTGTATCAGGGCGAACCTCTGAGGAGCGCTGGCTGCGCTTAGGCCACGGTGCGGCAGGCGCCGCGGTTTTCTGAAACAGAAACGTTTAGGGGTGTGGAAACGTGTTCCGAGGAACTGTGGTTTTGAAGTGCGATACATACCTGTCTTGCCCTGTTCCAAGATGGTGGCAGGGCTTCTCTGAGTCTTTCTCTTCCGCCAGTCCGTTGGAGAAGCGCTCTTTGATTGGCCAGTGGACAGCGTCGTGGCATGACGCGCTGGGGCGCTGGCCAATCGGTTGAGAGCTGAGCTGGACTTGGCGGTGGGAGCCGGGGCCTGGCTATTGCAGCTGTGGGTGAGGACGGCTCTAGCTAGGTGAGCGGTTCCGGCCAGGTGAGCGCGGTGCCCAGGTGACGGAGGTCCGAGGGCACGGGTATGAGTTTCTGCGGGGGGCGAAGGTGGGCGGCTGCTGGGATGAGGCCTTTTCTTGACAGTTTGGGGTAGCGGGGGGAATCGATGATCCAGGAGTCCCCTGAGGGTGTCATCCCCCACCAGGCTGGCACCGATTTCTGGCTCCAGGCTCCCCAGAATTGCGGGGTGCGCACAGCTGGAAGGAGCCAACCCCTGTTTTATAGTTGAGAAACTCAAGACTTAGACAAGTGAAACGACTTTTGCTTCATGACAGCTGGAACTGGAACCCAGGTCCTTGGACTCCCTTCAAGGATTAAACTTCATTTATTCTTGTATACACATGGTCGCTGTGTCCTGAGAAGTTAAGAGTTGGCGAGATAAGGGTGGTTGAGATTTTTTGGCATATTCTCCTGTTATCTTTCCAGGCCTTTCATTCATTCACTAATTCATACTTTCAGTTATTTACCTCTTCAGATACCTTCCCCGTTGATACTTTGTTAAAAGCTGTGGACCCATCTCCCTAGAAGAAAGGCACATTCCCTCATGCGCATAACTTCAGAGGATTCGTGGACCTTCTGTAGTCCCCTTGGATTGTGTGTCCAGTGCTCAGAATCCAGACCCTAGGAGGGTGAGGGAAACAGGCAGTGAGAAAAGGAGGGAGCGGCAGGTCTTAGGCTGTACGTACTTGGAAACCGTTAGATGGAGCCAGTAGTTTCTTTTTTTCGCGGAGGCTGGAGTGCAGTGGCGCGATCTCGGCTCACTGCAACCTCTCTGCTTCCCGAGGTCAAGCAATCTTCCCTGCGGCAGCCTCCCGGGTAGCTGGGATTACAGGCGCCTGCCACCACGCCCAACTAATTTTTGTATTTTTAATAGAGACAGGGTTTTGCCTTGTTGGCCAGGCTGGTCTTGAATTCCAGACCTCAGGTGATCCACAGGCCTCGGTCTCCCAAAGTGCTGGGATTACAGGCATGAGCCACTGCGCCTGGCGGCCAGTACCTTTTAATAAAGAACGTTTTGAGAGAGAGACGGTTATTTAATGAAATCTGCTGACATGCTTGCTGAGAGTTGTGATATTAGAACTTGCTTTCATTCCGACTTTAGTTATTCCTTTGCTTCCCATGAAGCTCCAGAGTGCTGACACAGTGCTTCAGGTTCTTGCCGTTGCTAGAAATAGCAAATAGATTTCTTAGAGTTTCGGTTGGAGCAAACACTGGAATTCTTGTGTTCTGGGCTCCATGTAGTAGACTAATTCATTTGCTTTTCTAGCCATGCAATGTTATTGCCTTGATCAAAATTATTTACAGTTCGGTACTTCCCAAAATAACAGAGATGGTTGTTATCCACATTGAAGGAAGTGGGTGCGAGAGGCCACTTTAATATGATAAACTCTTTGTTTTGCCGTTTTACTACTTTTCTTGAGGGGCTTGTTCCCTTGAGCCCCAATAGCTGAGTTGTGTGTTACCCTAGATTTTAGGATATGAACAGGATGTATAAACACTCAATGAAGTTGGGATCATTTGGGTTTGAGAGTTCAGCCTGTAAGACAGTTTTATTGACCACAGTCTTTTTTATTTTTATTTTTTTGAAACAGAGTCTGACTCTGTCGCCCAGGCTGTGCAATGGCACCGTC